GTGCTAGCTACCATTTATTAGGCTTTTTGCCATCTGTGTATAACCATCTAAACGAACCCGGGGACGTTCGCCAGCTATCTGGCTGATAGAGTGGTGTTCGTAATAAAAGTGGGGACCCTTCCGGATTTAATTTGTTGTACGAGTTTTGGTTTTGACACTAGGTTTAAGTCTAGGAGTTTTCTCGTAGTCCAGTAGCGTTGTGTGACAACTCCGCTCAAGGCTAGAGTTATCTAGGTCAGGAGGCCAGACGTATCATGTCCTAGATTTAGGTCGAGTTCATAGCAGATCCTTGTGCTGTGTTAACCTAGTGCGGTTTTTTTTAGTTGTAAAACCTAGCTAAATAATGGAGGCTTTTTTGTTGAAACCTACAGTTGAGGAAGTTGAGAAACTCAGTAGGAAGGATTTAATTGGGGTAGTGAAAGAGTTCAATTTAGATTACTCTGTTACTCAAAAGTCAGAAGTGCTAAGAGATAAGATTGTAGTACATTTTATCAACGAAAATGTGTTTTAGGAAAGTCTGTTAGCTGATATGTTACTTCGTGAAGAGAAATCTTTAGAAGAGAAGGAGTTGGCTTTAAAAGATAAAGAGTTAGAGGAAAGGATTGCTTTAGAGAAGGCTTTCAAAGAAAGAGAATTAGAAGCTAAAGTTGCTCTAGAGAAGGAGGAGTTGAAAGCTAAGATAGAGTTAGATAAGAGGAGGTTAGAGTTGGAATTCGCTAAGGTTTCTGGTAATGTGAGTTCTGTAGTGGAACCTGAAAAGTTGTCAGTTGCTCAGGTTATTGCCAAATTTGGTAAACTGGTCCCTAGGTTTAACGAGGTAGATTTGGTTGTTTTCTTTAACTCCTTTGAGAGTTTAGCTAAAGCATGTGAATGGCCCGAAAATGCTCTTACCGCTTTATTAAACACAGTTCTTATAGGGAAAGCTGCTAGTACATATCAGGCACTCTCTCGAGATGTACAAACTAATTATGGGCTGGTCAAAGCTGCCATTTTAAAAGCCTACGAGTTAACGCCCGAGGCTTATCGGATGAAATTCCGAAAACTCAGAAAACAGCCCACACAATCCTATGTGGAGTTTCTGTTCGAGAAAGAAAAAGTTTTCTCGAGATGGCTAATCTCAGAATAAGTCACAGAGTTTGAAAAACTCAAATCTCTGGTCCTGAGGGAAGAATTTCTGAATTCCCTACCCGAAGAGATCCGTCTACATATCCTCGATAATAGGATAGTCGACATCAAGAAGGCTGCTGAGTCGGCAGACACATACATGCTGGTTCATAAAAGACCACAAGTGTCAAGTAACCGCCTCAATCATGTACTCCCCCTTGTTGGCAACAGTCCCCCTGTTGGCCAATCTTTGAAGTCGTTCCAGTCAATAGAGAAGCCCAGAAACACCACCAGTCGAAGAACAGTATGCCAATACTGTAAGAAACCTGGACATCGCATAAAAGACTGTTATAAGCGGCATCAAGTCAACAGAGAGGTTGTGCGTACATCAGCGCATAACTCTCTCCTCCATCAGGCAGCCAGTTCAAATTTGAACTCTACTCTTCGGAATGACACTATCCCTAAGTGTCCACAGGAAAAGAATCAAGTTCCCACCACATATGTTCAGTCATCTTTTGACTGTCCACTCCACCGACCAGTTTCTTCAGAGGCAACCGATCTCGAGGGATCGAGATAGGTTGACTTCTCATCGTTCCTGGCAGAAGCTGTCATTAGCAACCCTGGTGATCCGTTGTCAAAGCGGAACATAAATGTCCTGAGAGATACAGAGGCATCACAGTCGCTTCTATTGAAGAGCTCAATGGACATTACACCGGAGACGAACACCGGGAATGTTACCATTATTCAAGGAGTGGGGTCAGAACCCACTGTAGTCCCTCTGTACAAGTTTAACCTGAAACATCATCTCGTCGAAGGAGAGGTCATCCTAGGGGTGATCGAAAGTATCCCTGTACCAGGAGTGCACCTGCTCCTAGGGAACGACTTAGCGGGAAGCAAAGTCTACCCCCATACGGTTCAAAACCCGTTGTCAACAATTCCAGATGATGATAATGAACTGTATCCTGCATGTGTGGTGACAAGAAGCCAGACCAAGCAGTTGGCTGATACAGCGCCTGATCCACACGAATCATCATCGTTAGGAAATCCAGCTCCCAAATTGGAACCTATGCCTCTAGAGGGCCCATTCATGGAATTGCCCCTGAGGATATCTCATGATGACATCGTTAAGGCTCAACAAGACGACGCAGAACTCCAATCGGTGGTCGAGAAATCCCTCTCGGCTGACGATGGGGAGTATTTCACCGCGAACGACCTGATCTTCCGTCGTGTTTTACCAATGACTGCCTCACCGGCCGAACCATGGTTGAAAAAAAACCAACTGTGGGTCCCTCCACCTTATCGGCAGGAAATCCTGAAACTGGCCCATGACAACCCGATGTCAGCGCATCCAGGGGTCACGAAAACAATGGCGAAGATCAAGGAACTGTTTTTTTGGCCGAAAATGAGAAATGATGTGTCGCGTTACTGCAAACGTTGCACGAACTGTCAGTTGGCCGGGAAACCCAATCAGAAAATTCCTAAGGCCCCGCTGAATCCGATTCCTGTGTTAGAAGAACCCTTCTCCAAAATCATCATGGACTGCGTTGGCCCTTTGCCAAAAACCAAGGCGGGCAACGAGTACCTACTCACCTTCATGTGTTCAAGTACCCGTTTTCCCGAAGCATTCCCCCTGCGGAACATAAAGGCAAAGACTAGTCAGAGCCATGACCCGGTTCTTCACTACTTTCGGATTACCTAGAATTGTGCAAACCGACCAATGCAGCAACTTTACCAGCCATCATTTCCAAGAAGTGCTAGCCAAGCTAGGCATTACCCACGTCACCAGCTCAGCCTATCACCCTCAGTCTCAATGTGCTCTTGAGAGGTTTCACCAGACCCTAAAAACCATGCTGAGAACTTTCGTTCGAAGTAATACTCAGTGGGATGAAGCTGTTCCCTGGATTATATTCGCCGCTAGAGACTGTGTGCAGGAATCTCTAGGTTATTCACCTTTTCAGCTTGTGTTCGGTCATTCTGTCCGTGGTCCCCTGAAGCTGATCCACGAGCGTTGGACAGGTACTAGTAACCATCCAGTGGAGAACTTTGACGAGTTTCACGTCCGATTGAAAGCGGTGTGCGAGTTAGCTCATAAGAACTTAAGAAAGGCCCAAGTGAGGATGAAAGGACTGTATGACAAAAGTTCTCAAAAACGAACATTCAAACCTGGCGAGAAAGTTCTTGTTCTGGTGCCGAACCTCACAAACGCTCCTAAGGTATTGTGGACCCTTTACGGTGCATTCAAAATTAAGTGATTTGAACTATGTTATCAATACTCCAGACAGTAGGAAGAAACAGAAGGTGTACCATGTTAACTCATTAAAAAGGTACTATGATGATAGTACCAATTTTTATTCCACAGCTAAGGTTACTTTACCTTTATGTGTATCTAATGATTCTGATGATGTTATACATGACAAGCCAAAGCCCCCAAAATTGTTAAATTATTCGTTTTTGGCTCATTTAAATGACCACCTAGTACATCTGTCCACTGAGGAAAGCCAAAAATTGTCTCAGTTGTTTGATACCTTTCCCTCCATTTTTGGGGATATTCCCAAAGAAGCAAAGGTACCCCCTCATGATGTTGATGTAGGTGGGGCTAAGGCTATAAAACAACACCCCTACAGGTTAAACCCAGAAAAAGCTATTATTATGAAAAATGAAATTGATTACATGATCAAAAATGACATCATTGATCCCAGTTTTAGCAATTGGAGTTCCCCCTGCCTATTGGTCCCGAAAGACGGTGGATCTTTCAGATTTGTGACCGACTTTAGAAAAGTCAATGCACTTACCAAGGCTGATTCTTACCCATTGCCTAGAATAGAGGATTTAATAGATAAAATTGGTCAGTCAAAGGTTATTACTAAAACTGATTTATTGTCAGGGTATTGGCAAATCCCCTTATCAGACCGTGCTAAAGAGATCTCTGCTTTTGTAACCCCTAATGGTTTTTATAGATATAAACGTATGCCTTTTGGTATGCGAAATGCTGGGCAGACCTTCCAGCGTGTCATAAATTCTGTAATAGCAGACATTGACAAATGTGAAGCCTACATGGATGATATTGTAGTATATTCTGATTCATTTGAAGAACACATTGTTCAGTTAACTAACCTTTTCAGAAAATTGTCAGAAATTAACTTCACCTATTTGGGTTATCAAAGCCCAAGTCAGTGCTATTGTGAAGTTGCCTCCTCCCAAAAATTGTAAAGAAATAAAAAAGTTCCTTGGGATGGCAGGTTACTACGGGCGGTTTTGTAAAAATGTTTCAGCTGTTGCTGAACCCCTGACTGCATTGTTAAAAAAAGGTGTTGATTTTGTATGGTCAACTAAATGTCATGAAGTTTTTTAGACATTAAATCATTTTTATCTAATGCTCCTGTTATGGCTGCACCAGATTTTGGTAAGCCTTTTAAACTTGCCATTGATGCAAGTGACTTAGCCATTGGCTCAGTCTTATTTCAGGAAGACAACCAAGGGATTGACCATCCAATCGCTTTTTTCTCTAGAAAGTTAAATGACAACCAGAAGAGTTACTCCACCATTGAAAAGGAAGCATTAGCTTTGGTTTTGCCCTTGCAACATTTTGAGGTCTATGTCACATCCTCAGCTTAATTTGCTGTATCACCCAAGCCCAATGATGCAACTCTTCGTATCAAAACCCCATGGAATTGCAGCACTTATAATTAAGAGATGTCAAAAAAAAAACTAATTAAAGTTTGGTGACTAGATAGCCCTATGCCGTCATATTTGCTTTCCGGTCACTGACATTCCAATTGGTACACGCAGCTGGTTAGTCAATTTATTAACTGCTGTTCACAACTCAACTAGTAATACAGTTCAACCCAGCCACCTCCAGTGACTCATTCATTCTAAAGACTCATCAAAATAACAACAATAATTGACATGGTTTTAATCATCAAAACTAACAATAAGAGCTTGTTTAAAAATGTTAAATGTATCAGTAAATGAAATAGTATTTTACACAATGGAGCAATGAACAAGGCTTTTTGCCTGAAGTCAAATTGTTTTGATTCTAATTAAATCAATGGCTATTTATAACATTAACTAGACAACACCAGTAGTCCATCAAAGTTAATCTTTGACAAAACAACAAAAACTCAGACCTCTGTCATGTGTGTCAGAGTACAAATGTATACACAAATCCCACTTGTGTGGTTGTATTATAGAAGTAGAGATATTTGATGTATTTTAAAGCACAACAAAGGTGATATTCAAGTAATTCCATCTCCAGTTAATTAAATTTACAAAAGCAAAACCTGTACATAAAATTATTTAGGTTAGAATGGACTCATTTTAAAATAGATTCAGATAATAAAATTTATGACCACAATTTGGATAATTTTTTTAATGCTACTATTGGTAAATAGTATAATAGCCAGCTGCACAGCAGATTAAAAGCCAAATAAATTTTCTTAATGTTCTACTGATAAACTGAATTTGAAAATAAACAACATGCTAAACCATAAAAAGATACAGATGCACTGAGCTAATTACAAAATACGAGCACACTGGGAAATAAATAACAATCCTTCTACAATGTGAAGTAAAAAAATTTCTTTTTGAAAACATTAACAAGACATATTATAAAAAGTAACTAATCTGACTTCAGAGGCAAAGGACCAACAACAATGATGTACATCAGTTAGCATTCAAACATAAATCAAAGTACCAGGATGAAGATGGTGATGGTTGTTCAGGTTATGATGTGGCGGCCTCAAGCTCGCCCACTGGCTGATCTGGTTCTTCATCATTGTAAATATTTTCAGCCTACAGAAAGTCAATAAACAATTGTCACAACTGTAATCAAATTTTAAAAATCCAGGAATAGTAAACACTTTAACAAGGAACAAACCAAATTAAGTGCCATGCAAGACCAGATGGTGCATGAAATAGATGAAGTACAGTTTATCTGATGTTGTGACAAAGGGATTATGTGGGCAAAGAAAATACTTTTACATCCTTACCATCTGCCAAACTTGCATGATGTTGTCCTCAGACACTGAACAAATCACCCATGGTTCATTGGGATTCCAAGAAAAATCTGATATCTTTGCTGTGTGTCCACCATGAATGAACTGGAATAGACATGGATTTAAATTGTAACAACAACCTGTATATGAATAACCTCAATGGATTTAACTATGTATTATTTGCTAATTTACCAATAACTCAGGAGGTCCATCTTCAGCATCTTCTGGCAATTGCTCCTCTCCAATTTTGCTATAAAAAATAGAATGAATAGTAAAATTTCATTGCTGAAGAAAACTATTAGCAGGTATCAATGCCCAAGTGGCATCTCCAAAATACAATTTCATAAAATTCCTACAATTTCAAAGGAAAAAACCCTACAGGTTTTGCTAATTTAGATTAAAACAGATTTAAAGTTTAGCAACAAGCAAAAATTAGTAATAGCAATATTTTCTTCTTCATTTTTCATTGTAATGAGGACATGATTTCCTTCAACACAATTAAGTGCTATGTGTCAACCTGTAATGCACCACCTAGGCAGTTTGACTTTCCTTTCTGGATTTGCTTCCATAGATTATGTCCTTCCATACGAACTACAAAGCAGCAGTTGTTTGATTTTGGAGTTTTCTCTCCTAGAAGGGTAGCTGTCCCCAGGTAACTCATCTGTCTAGGGTTTAATACTTGGCACCTTTCGGTTTGGCAAACATGCGCTTTACCCACCCACCAACTAATATTTAACATACCTAAGGTCCCAAACATGTAATCTCCTATCAGTACCACTAGAGGCAAGAATTGTTTCATTGTGTGGTGACCATTGAACCTAAGGGAAACAATAAAAAAAAACAATGATACTCAACTAACCAATTCTTAACATTTCAAAAGATAGAGATATATAAAACTGATGGGCTCAACCTATACAGAAAAAAATTATATAAATGAGGGGATTAGTTATTGTTTGTTCAAAGTGGTAGTTTAAAAAAATGCTGTTTTATGAACTACTTTTGCTAGTTGAACTTACTTGGAAAATTTCATCCTTATGTGACTCGAATGAATGAAGTTTTAACTTTAGGTTTCGCAAGTCCCAAAGAGCAACAGTCTAAGAAAAGGCACAGACGTAATTAAAAGTAAAATATACTTTATTTAAATAAACCCAATAACACAATAGTTATTATTTTAAATAGTAAATATTGTAAAAGTTTGAATCCTACCTTGTCTGCTGAACCAGTGGCTAAAATAAACTCGCTGTAAGGATTAAATGACAGACAGTTCACCTCAGCCGTGTGAGCATCAACTGTATGGCTAGGTTTACTTGTGTTGTTGGACCTTGTGTCCCAACTGGGTAAGGAAAACATAGTAAATTATAAACACCTTGGTAATTCAAAAATAATAATTTTTATAAACCTTTAATAATTAAATTAACCCTTAAATTAAAATAATATATCTTACATCATTAGTTTCTGATCATCAGCGACTGAACCGAATAAACTTTCATGAAGCAAATGCCAAGCAACATCCTAAAAAATAAAATAAAATTTCAACACTTCATATAGCACTACTTTTTAAATAATTTTAAAATACTAATGTAAAATAGAGCATTGTGTACCTCAACAACAGATGTGTGACCTGTAAATATTGTCATTGCATCAATCACTCTTTCCTGGCGCTGAGTAGCATTTACATCCCACAAACATATTGTCTGTAAATAAATAAACTTTTAGCATAAGTTTTTACACCTCAGTGAGGTAACAACCATTCACACACTCAGACAGGCTTACCCTTTTCAGCCAAAAGTAGGAACAGTCATGTCTAAAAAGAGGAATTTGAAGCCAAAAAGAGGAACATACGCACTGACGTTAATTTACTAAGTCAAAAATAAAAATAATTTATTAAAAATTAATCTAATGACATAAGTAGTCTTCTAGTCATATATAACAAGTCTCTAGGCTTCATTTGAATACTACTTAATGTCAGCTTACATTAAAATAAACCGGAAGTGATCTCCCCTAAACTTTCTCGAATATTCTTATATAAAACAACAAGAGATATAGTCATGAGTTTTAATCCATTTTTAACTACTTAAACTTTTTAAAATAGAATCTCGTAGAAAAAAGAATTGCACACCAGGTGGACACAAAACAAAATGTATATAATAGTGCAGATTATTAGTACTTTATAAATTACATGCGTTTTTTGAGAATTCGGAATTAGCGAAAATTACTACTTTCGGTCAAAGGAAATTACTCAAAATTTGAAAGAAGGCAGAGAATTAGATCTTGTACTTACAAGTGAAATTTCATTTATCTATCTGAAATAGTACTCAAGTTATAGGCTTTTGAAAAATTGATATATAGAAAAAGTTCCATTTCCGGTCACCAGAAATCGCTCAAAAGTTGATACGGATCTATGATTTTGATAGAATACTTGTATATAAAATTTCATCAACCTAGCTTTAATGGTACTCAAGTTATCGTGTTTACACACACAGACAAGATTGCAAAACTATGTTTTCCTGACTCAGGGAGGTGTAAAACGTCGAGATTCACAAAAATGTCAAGTTTTTTTTTTGCACGATTACAAGACTTTCTCTACACTTCGTATATATGAGAAAGTAAAAGGTTAACCAGTAACCTGAGACCCCCCCAACAAAACCCATAGCTTTGACATAACATTATTGATTTGATTAATGCTGAAGGCTTCATATATAACATAAAAATATAAGTTAAGAGCTAAGACCTAGTTACTTCTTCTTACTGATACTGTAGTTACTAGTTAAGTTACAACTTACAAAATAGGTCATGGTTTAATTGTATTTTTCTCCCTACATGTTTAAGGCATAATTTAAATCTCAGGGATGTGACCAGGCTCTAAAAAAAAATTAGGAAATTTTTTGGGTCAAAATATGCTATATCAAGAATTGTGCGCGACCCCAAATATTGGATACCCTTTTAGTACTTATACAAACTGAACAGATTTAGATGTAAAATATTGTATTTTTAATATAAAAACCACTTCTTCATTATTCAGGGATGTGACCAAATTGTTTTTTACAATGTAACAAAAGTGGCAAAAAAGTTTTATTTTTACATTAAACTAATTTAAACTCTACTAATCTGGTCTAGTTGTACTCTTGTTATCAATTTAAATTATGCCTTACATTCTTTTAAAGATGTACAATGGTACAAATGTTAATCATCAACTGTAAAGAGCCTAGATTTAAATTAATTGTAATTTAAAATTTTTAGGTTCATGTGATAGAAAATAAAATCGACCAGATTAGCTGAAAATAGAAAGGGTCTGATATGTGAACTAAAGTTAACCAATTGGTAGCTAAGCTACGTCTGTTGTTTATGCTTTTGGAATAGCTGTACTGTAAATTGTTAGGGGTCATCCGTAGTAAATGACGTCACATTTTTTTGACGATTTTTACTTCCCCTCTCCTCTCCCTCACAATAGCCAGACTCCCCCCCCCCCCTTTCTCATCAAACTTGAATTCTTGTTAAACATCGTTTTTTTTTTTTAAATATTAACTCATCTCCACCAACATAGGGTATTTTAAATTATTTTAATCAATTTCTATTACAATTTGTTTTCTTTAAAGTTTTCTTGAACGCGGCTAAAATTTAGTTTCTAACATTTTTTTAAATACAGAATTATGACGTCACACTACCTGACCCCCCCCTCCATCGTACGTCACTAAATTACGGATCCCCCCCCCCTCCCCCGTAAGAGTGTGACGTTATTTATGGAAGACCCCTTATTAAAAAAAGTCCGTATCGTATTTTTTTTCTTCCACAAACAAGACACGGTGGGAGTCACGTTGCGTTCAGTTTTTTTTTTAATCTGTAGGCCTATAGCATACGTAGGTTTATTGCGGGAACAGCTATTTGAAATTGACTGTGACGTCATTTTTATTTTTCCCCACACGCAGTATCACACGTACTTGTGGTCATGGTGAGGTCACAAGAGCCACCGTTGCTACAAGGAGGGGCGGGTTAGTCTAGTCCTCATAGTCACCTTTAGCTAGGATTTCAATAGCAATTTGAGATAGCGAGATAAAAAAGAATCAGAGAGAAAGGGGTCATCCATTTATGACGTCCACACGCGGGGGGGGGGGGTCCGAAAAAAAACTGACTTTTGTGGACGCATATGGACTTTTATAAGGAAAAAAAGTAGATTTTTGTGGGGGGGGGGTCCAAAATCCAAAAAAATGTGTGGACGTCATAAATGGATGACCCCCAACTAGATTTGAGTGCGCTTAAATACCGAAAAATGAATTAGGCTATATCGATAGCCTTTGGAGAGGTTAATTCATTTGAAGAACGGCATTACTTTAAATTAATTTTCCCAGAATCTTTGATAAATATTTAACTGAAAATATCAACGGACAATTTGGACTAAAAAATGTGCGTTCCGAAAAATTCTGAAAATTGCAGAAATTCAGAATCTTGACCTAGATCTAAATTTAATCTTTATCTAGCGCAACCTAGGACTGAGCGCAAAAAAAAATTTCCGTACGAACATGTGGAGTGCGCATGTAGGCCGTTTCAGTGTTTTTTTTTCCCCTAATTTTTAAAACTTCGTAAAAAAATCGGTTTAAAATCGTAAATCCGCGGAAAAATTCGGCGAAAATGAAATCAGCGGAGGAAAATTGCAACTGAAACGGAAAAGTCGGAATTCCGCTAAAATTCGGAAAAGTCACATCCCTGAAATCTACAATTCGTATACTAAAAAAAATGTTCAGTGGCTAGATTGTCCACATTATCTTTAGTTGTAAATATTGTAAGTTAACTACGTATACTAAAAAAAATGTTCAGTGGCTAGATTGTCCACATTATCTTTAGTTGTAAATATTGTAAGTTAACTACGAAACGGAGAGAGAGAAATAAGGGAGATAATCACTTTTCCCTGCCTTTTTTCAATTCAGTTTATTACTTTGAAAATCAGAACAGAGTCAAAATCGGGATGACGGAATAACCTTTTTAGGTCAAAAAGGGGAACGGTATGCATGTATGCACACTCCTTTTCCAGAAAAATAAATGCACGTGAAGCTGAATAGAAAATCAAATAAGTTGCTCTCAACCTGTATATATAGAGAAAATCTATTTGTACTTGTACATACAACACACTAAAAGGCCCAAATTTCGACAACTTACATGATCATCTGAAGCACTCAGTAGGTGACCATTGAGATTAGGGTTCCAAGACAGGCCATATCTGTAGACACAAAGCCAGATTGTTTATACACACACACTTATACAGTCAGATATCAGAATCACTATAGAAAAAAATTACAGTCTAATAAAGGACAGAGTTTGCTTCCTAATAATCAAACATTTATTATTTCTCTATAAAATTAAATTATATTTTTAACTTTATTTCTGTGGACTTTTTTATCATTGGAAATAGCCAGGATGTTCATAATTTAATTATAGAGAACCTTACATTATCAACAGCAAAGATGTAATATGTGATTTAATCAAAGCAGAATTATACTAAAACATACCCTTCTTTTTGATGACCCTTTAATCGTAGTTCTGGAATACATTCACCACTTGGATCTTAAAAAACAAAACAAAAGCCCATTCATGAAATTTACAAAAGGCTGAAGATTTTTTAAAAAAATATTTTATTGATATCTTTTGAATTGAAATTTCCCATACCTGGTTTTGAAGGATGTTTAGTGTAATCAAAAACCAGCACATCACTAGATGGGGTCTTTGTTGCAATGATACATGGATTCTGTGGCATGTATCTTGCACGGTTAACTTCACCTTCATGGTTTATTTTTATTTCAATCTCAATTTTTCCACTAACCGAACCAAATCCACCAAATTCTAGAGTTTGAAAAATGAGAAATAAACAGTGCAATAATTTTTTTTTTAACAATTTGTTAATACAACATAATCATTTATTTTAATAACATCTCAAAATATTTTTTTAAACAGTGCAAATTCATTTTTTTTAACAATTTGTTAATACAGCATAATCATTTATTTTAATTACTTCTCAAAAAAAATTTTTTAATGAAAAAACGATACTATATGAAATATGGCTTACCTCCTTTATCACTATCATAATGCGATGCATCAAACTGAGCATTATCATTAGGTAACTGAACACTTGCAATCAAAAGATGATTCTGTTCATCCGAACTGGAAGATGCAGTGGAAGTTCTGTTAATGTGAGGCGCAATAGCAAACTACAATCACGTCTCTTGTTTCAACAGAAAAATCACTACAATCTAATTCTACAGTCTAAAAATTTAACATTAAAGAAAAAAAAAAATACCAATCAGAGTAACTTGTTCAAAGGCACATTTTTTTCTCTTCAAATTCAGAACCAAGACATTTTATTTTGTTATTTATTATCATTTGTATAAGTAAGATTTTGCACTTTGAACAAAAGCTATAGCTCAGATGGTTAATTAAAAAAAAAAAAGAACAGTAAAAAATAAAGTAAAATAAAACAAAATAATGATCTTACGTATGAGTTCCAAGTATTAATCGATGCAATGAATAATCCTTGCCTTCTGGTCTGAAAACATAATTTTAAAAATATTTTTAAAGCAACTAATAGGCCCTATAGAAAAAGACAAACATTTTGCTCTGCTGGTTTAAATATATTCTAATCTAAACACTGTCAACAAATTTACCGAGTGACATCAGCAAGCCATTGTGCTGTTAAACTTGGCCATTCTAATGCATGTGTCATCACCAGGTCATAAAGGAAGGGTGTGTTCTTTTTCCATATTTTGTATTCCTCATTGATAACCCTTTCTTCTGCAGCTTCGTCAAAATTTTCTGTTTGCAAAATAAATTTTAAATTTTTTTTTACTAAAATTGAGCTTGAGAACAATTAAATTTACCTGAATAATGAACTGCAGTAAACATGTCAGAAGATATAACACTACAAGAAAGGTGGGCTTTTGTTTTTTCACTATAGTATAGTAGTATAGTTATAAACACTTTCATGATATAATAATAACTGGGCTGCAGTCAACATTTTTGCAGATTAATAAGTGTCTACCAATCAGATGGGGGTAAAATGTGAGACAAAATTTGAAATGTCACATGACTGGCTTCTTCTTCTGCGTTTTTAATTCCCTCCAACACATTTGAGTATGTTTCAACATGTTATGTGCTATATAGGCCATTGACTCTGATTTCAGCCAGCTTTTCTGATTAACACCACCACCAAAACCAAAACATTCAGATAAGTTCAACTTGGTTTTAAAAATATTTGAAGTAGGCCCATAGCTTACGATATAGCACGAGCAACTGATAATATCGGTGACATCACTTTATTTTGTTGTATCCAAATGATGTAGGCATTTCCTTATGCTTAGATTTATATGGTAAAAAAAAGCTAGAAAAAAATCGTAGGCGGCGGCTATAATACAAAATTTCTATGCAACAATAGAAAATATGTTTGCGGCGGCAGCGGATCCGGGCACGGCGATCTTCAAAGACGGTAAATCAGGCGGCCTCGGCGTTCCACACAAAAGACAGAACTTGATCTATCGTCGGTGGTAGTTCCGTCAGTTTCGAACAAGGTGGTATTCTAAGTCGACACAAAAGATGGGGGGAGTTGACAAATCATCAGTATGTCTAGCGACAGAAAAATCGGAAGTTTTAACAATGTAAATGAAACGTCTTTGAAGTCTGGACCAAATACCACTGAAAATCGGGTGCGGTAAATTTTTCGCAGAAATTTTCGCATTTCAACACCACCCTGCGTAAGTATCTGCTTGTGGAAAAATGCGAGACAAAAAAGTCACGTGACCTACTGTTTTCGCGCCCTTCTCGCATTTTTCCCGCCTCGCCATTTCGCTTCTCGCAATTTCCCCACACCCGTAAATTGCATTTTTCATGAATAATCTAGGTCTATAGTCTATAGTACTCTATAGTAGTCCTAGTTAGAATAAACTTCTACATTTATAAACTAGAATCTAGCAAAGTATCAGAATTGGTACTAATGGTATGAATCAGAATGGCATGAAGAATGAACAGTGAGCAGGTTTGGAATGCAGGAAAAGTTCTGTTACATTTAATTTAAATTTAGGTGCCCATGTCAATCTTAGATAAAATAATTAGTAACTAGTCTAGTACTCCTAGTAAGTCTAGTAGGCCTAATGAAAATACTAATATTTTGTAGCGAGACTCACTAACTTAAAAGCGTCCTTGGTTGCTAACCAGAACATGGCTACCACACCTTGGCCTACGATTGGGCAATTTTTTCTGCTTTGTCGAGAGACCACCTTAACATTAACTTTAAAAATAATTATCACGCGAAAAATGGCGTTTTTTTCGCGTATTTTAAGCAATCTAATGATGACAAAGCTTTTTTTGGCAGATTTTTTTTTTTTTTTTTGCTTCCGACATTGAAAGGTCAAACGTAAACATGGGTACAGTTTGAGTAGCTCAAAAACTTTAAATAATGGTCTCTAAGGTGTCAAAACTGCATGCCTAGGTAGAGTATTATTAGATTGATCGTTTAGTGAAAAAAAATTGTAAATATTATGTTCGCCTTTTAAGAAATCGGCATCGCAAAAAGGTCACTGAAAGCACGTTATTTTTTATTGTGACGTCATCGCTATTGTTACGGAAGCTGTACAGTAGTATCCTCTCGCTGCTTATATAATTGTGTTTTCTTTTCACTTGACACTCTTTTTCAGCTTATTTTGCTAGCGTAATTAGACTAATTAAGCCTAATTATGGATATTTCACCTGACTTTTGGATTATACTATGACTCTAAAAACCCTTAAACCACAACGATCTGTTATTTTTTTTTTTTGTTGATCCCTGGAATTAGATCTAGATCTAGTAGTGAGCGTTGGTCTTTGTGTGCTTACTTAGGCTAATGACTTAGGCCTAATTATTTGTTTTCAAATTTGTTATAGCTTAATTAATTTGTCTTAATTCTTATTGATTTCATAAATTTTAATTAGGCTAATTATAATATTATTTTCACTGGTCTTTGTTGCCTCATTATTTGTTTTCAAATTTGTTATAGCTTAATTAATTTGTCTTAATTCTTATTGATTTCATAAATTTTAATTAGGCTAATTATAATATTATTTTCACTGGTCTTCGTTGCCTCATTATTTGTTTTCAAATTTGTTATAGCTTAATTAATTTGTCTTAATTCTTATTGATTTCATAAATTTTAATTAGGCTAATTATAATATTTTCACTGGTCTTCGTTGATGCATTTATTAGGCTTAATAATGTTAATATTATTACGATTTTATAGGCCTGATAGATAAATTAAATGATTTTAGCGTTAGGTCTAAGTTTACATTACTAATTAGTACTAAGTAAACCAAGTACGCATGGACTAGGACATGTGTGCTGTGCCCGCGCTGTGGCGGGCGATGCCTCTCTCGCTGACAAACCAGCGCGAGCGAGCGAGTCGTTTGACACACGTGGTCTGTGTCGATGTTTGGAATGCATAGGCATAGGCCTAATTCTCGCTCTCGGGCGATTAATTTTTATGCGCTGACATTTGAAAAATCAAATAGACACACATCTTAATTAAATACATTTAATTTGAACTTTATATTAATCTAGACCTATAATACTAATTAGGGCCTATAACTTGGGATAACAAAGTACTTGGACTAGATTTAGCGCATGCGCACACTGTGCTATGAGTTTTCTCTCGCTGGTTGACAAAAGAACGCAGGCGGGCTAGCGATGTTTGTAATTTGCATATATCTTTGCTCACAGGCGATCATTTTAATGAGATTGGCCTCTTTTTATTTTATAGGCCTAATTAATTGTATTTGATAGGCTAACTTTTCTGGTTGACAAAACTAAGCGAGCGAGATGTCTGTCACGCGCACTGCCCGTGACGCTGTTTAGAATGTATTTCTCGCTAACTTGATGAATTTGAATACTATTGCAGTGTTTTTTAAAATAAATCAAATACTTACAAATCTTTACATTTTAAACTGAGCATAGACAAAACTTTGTAAATAACACACCTGTCCCAAGTCAAGTGAGAGAAGAGGGTTAGATTAATTTTACAATGACATCGCTATATTTTATGAATTGCCCTAATTAAGCATTGCTAAAACACTTACACTAGTTAATAAAACATGCATGGGATTGAATATCTTTAAAAAGATTAGATCTATACTATATATTCTTGAACATGTTTTTCATTAATTTGAATTTAGTTTTCCTTTTTAAACACCCTTCCATTTAAAAAAAAATTAAATAAAAATATTTAAAAATTCTAGATCTAGATCTAATTCCATTACGTGATTTTTTATTCTGACGAAGACAGTGTACATACGAATAGAAATGCGGTAATAAAATCAAATGTACTGTGCATATTCTGCTAAAATCAAATCAGCTGCAAGGTCAACCCTGCAGAGTTCGTCTCTTCAGAAAAGCTATGGCGATCTGGTTGTCACTGATTATTTGGCTTGCAATGCTTGGAGTGGCCAATTAATAAAAATCAGTAATTAAGCTCCAAATGAGTTTATTTTCAACAAATTAAGTATTTGATTGATTAGAGATTGATCTCTAGTTTCCATTGGTAATGTTTAAATCGAAAAATAACGAAATTTAAAATTAGTGAGTATCTCTAATATTTTGCATGGGCCAACTAAAATCTAGAACTTTTATAGATCTAGAATCTATAAAAAAAAATACATCAATCTTAGATCTAGAAACTGGATTAGAATCTAGACAGAACATACACAAAAACGATAAGGCCTGACTAGATCTAGAGTCTAGATTTCTAGCACACTTCATAACGAGGCAGATTGGGCAAGTACATTGACAAAATAACTAGACTAGATTCTAGTCTAGACTCTAGATCTATAAAAAATTCTTTTAATCAATTATCCCAATAAAACAGTATTATAGCAAACGGAAATCCTAACTATGAAAAAGAATGTACACATTATTGAATTTAAGAAGTAGATGTGCGTACCGGCTTCTTTGTCAGTCATTTTCTTATAATTTTATTTTATTGTCAGTAAACACGGGGGCATTTGCTCGCGCCAAGCCCGGAAAGTTCAATCCAGCACAAAATGTAAAAATGGCGTTAAGCGTCATAGAAATGTTTCGATTTACAAACATATATTAAAAAATCATTTTATTTCCTTTAAAAAAAAAATAAAAAATAAACATCGCTATGATTAAAATGTATTTTGGTTTATACTATTAGTTTTGTTTTTAAAACATGAAGTCAAATTCTTTATAAACTGATCTTTAATAATTTTCTTGTTATCACTAAAATGTGACTAAAGCTATGTAATGTAGCCTAACTGCTAGATTCTATACCATATCTAGAACTAAGATCTAGTACTAGACTTTCTTGATCTACTCATTCTACAGAGTCCCTATCAGAGTTTCTTCCAGGCATCTCTTCGAAAAAAATCTACCGCCCCCCCCCCCCCCCGAACGAAATGAAATTTATATAATTTATATAGAAAATATATACTTTTAACAATGTCCGCCCCCCCCCCCCCCCCCCGAAAATTCCAAGTGCCCCCTTCCCCCCCCCCCCCCGGAGAAAAAAGTCTGGAAGAAACACTGGTCCCTATGGTATAGCGAGGCCCAGGGCTCGAAAAAAAAAGCATAGGATGAAGAAACGTAGATATAACTTCGGAAAAAAATACTGCAGGATTATAGAAGATCAGTTGCGACGTCCCTAAGTGAAGCTTTTTTTATTTACAAATATTTAGCGTAATTTTAACCTCGCTACGTCACATACATCATCGAAAAAGAAGCATCTAAAGAAGAAGAAGCTTGTTTTGTTTTAATGAAATACAAATAGACGCTATGGTGCCCTGTCAAAACGACCAGGGACAAATCGGCCCCGTCAAAACGGCCCCGTTAATATGACCCCGTCAAATCGACTCCCGACAAACCGACCCCGTCAAAATAGCCCCGTCAAAAGGGCCCCGACTTATTGGCTCCCGTCAATTGGGCTCCCGTCATATTGACTTGCGACATATAGGCTCCCGACAAATGGGCTCCCGACATTTAGGCTCCCGACAAATGGACTCCCGACATATTAACCCCTGACAAATAGGCTCAGGACATATTGGCTCCCGACAAATGGGCTCACGACATATTGGCTACCGACAAATGGGCTCCCGACATATTGGCTCCAGGCAATTGGGCTCCCGACATATTGGCTTTTGACAAAATGACTCCCGACATATTGGCTCCAGACCAATGAATGACCATTATTGGCATAAAAGTAACTATTTTGTCCTACCTCCAATACCACTATAAATTCTTTTGAATGCCCGAACGAAATTGTTTTTCATGAACCAACATTAATTCACAAACAAATCGAGCCCTTAACAGCTAAATTCCACCAATTCTAAAGTTTGAATAATGTTTAATTTACAACAGAAAAGATATGTTGCTTAAAAGCGAGCACAGAAGTGTAAATGTATGATATACATGATGTTTACATGAAAACAGCATCTTGTTTTGATAACCTACAAGCATACTGCAGGTAGGAAGGTATAGCGTTTTACCCTTCTCCCCACACACAGAGTTGGAACAGCCTATCGACTCAATTATGGATGTCATAGATAGATGACCCTTAAATTAAAACATACTATATTTTATAATAGATAAACTCATATAAAAATAAGGCCTGCCGAACAAGAGATGCATGCGTTGTATTCAGTGGCGGAACTAGAAAAAATGGGCCACCCCGCAAAAATATTCGATATCTATATCTATATCCAGTGGCGTAGCGAGGTCGGGTGTCACCCGGTGCGGCACTTTATGGTGTCATCCCCCAGAGGCGCAACGACCCTTCCCGGGGACAAATTTTCGATTTACACCCCCCCCCCCTCAAACTTTCGATTTGCACCCCCCCCCCCACTCAAACCTTCGATTTGCACACCCCCCCTCAAACTTTCGATTTGCACCCCCCCCCCCCCCCCACCTCTTAAAAGGCTATTTAACACTCTAATTAATCACTCTATTAAGTGGAATTATCATTTTTCTCTATATATTTTGCTATTTTTTGCCTTGGTGTCACCCCCCTAAATGGTGTCACCCGGTGCGGTCCGCACCCCCCGCACCCACCTCGCTACGCCCCTGTCTATATCTATATCTATACCTATATCTAGATCTAGATCTAGATCTAACACACAATAAGAACATAGGATTCTCACTGCTGGCCTGTTCGGGTTTTGAAAAAATAATTGTTTTTTTCTTTTCAATTTAAGCAAATTACAACATGTCATGTGTGTAAGTGCTATAGTCTGTTTTGACTATCTAGTTTATTTTATCTCTGCTATCAGATCTCTTGATCTCTAGTCGGTCAAAAGTATATAAAACATGAAAGCTTTGTATAAGTTATGGTGTCTCGTTTTATTTTTATGTTTTTTTTTTTGTATTTATGTTATTAATTTTAAATGCATTTCCTTTTTGTACAATGTCATTCTTTAGTAAGTACTTTATAAAAAATAATTATTAAGAGAAGTAATTACTTTTTAATTTGTTTAGTGCAAATCTATTTAAAGGAGCTAATGGGCACCCCTATTTGACTATTTTAAAAAAAGGAAATAAGTCATGGAAGTGGTTTGAACGTTTACTTATCTTTGATAAGTTTGATTGTAGGAGAAAGAGGACTCGGCTTTCACAATGGTTTAAAAACAAAGGGAAAAAGAATACAAGAGCGCGGGGTGGTGTCTTTAGAAAAAAAGATAATCCAATCGCAGCTATAGTAATCTTTTTACATAACAATCATCAAGTTAAAAATGCAAGAAAATTATATTTTTTAACTATATATTTTTTTTTAGTTATGGTCGGCTGTGGGCCCCTAAAGGGCTTGCCCCCACCCCCACCCCCTCATTGCGGGGTCTGGCGGCACTGTAGTTCCGCCCCTAGTTGTATTACATAAGAGTGTTGGATAAGCTAACTTTAAAGAATGTTGATGAAGGGGTCCCACTGACAGGTGTCATATTCAATGAGACCGCTTTGCCGGGCGACTTAGTCTCTACAGAAACGGTATTGTCAGTGGTCAATTTGTCTGGAGCCAAATTGATAGGAGCCTTTTTGTCGTGAGCCAAAATGACGCTAGCCTATTTGTCGGGAGTCGTAACGACGGGGGCCGTTTTGTGGAGAAACTAAATGGCGGGAGCCTATTTGTCGGGAGTCGTAATGACGGGGGCCGTTTTGTGGAAAAAACTAAATGACGGGAGCCTATTTGTCGGGAGCCTTATTGACTGGAGCCCTTTTGTCGGGAGCCTATATAACGGGAGCCTATTTGTCGGTAGCCTAAATGACGGGAGCCTATTTGTCGGGAGCCTATATGACGGGGTCCATATGTCGCTGGCCCTTTTGACGGGGCCGATATGACGGGGTCGTTTTGACGGGGCCGTTTTGTCGGGGTCGTTTTGACGGGGCCGTTTTGTCATTGGCCGAATTGACGCAACACGAGACGCTATATACTTTGCCCCCCCCCCATACACACACACACCTACACCAGAGGCGTAGCGACCTTTCCCGGCGCCCGGGGACAAACTTTTCGATTTGCACCCCCCCTCAAGATTTCGATTTGCACCCCCCCTCAAACTTTCAATTAGCACCCCCATCAACCTTTCAATTTATTTTTCCAACCCATTTTGGCGCCCCCTAAGGTCGGCGCCCGAGGACATATGTACCCCCCCCCCCGCCCCCCTCGCTACGCTACTGACCTACACTCACGACATCTCTACGAAAGTCTGGAACCTCTACTGTGACTGGTGACCCTTTTAAATTTTATAACTGATGTGCAGATGCAGGCTGAACTCCAACAAACATTCTCTAAAACTGGCCTACTGATGCGAGAAAAAGAAAAGGAGGCCGACAAACGAAGATACCAAGAAAATCGGATACACCTGGGGACATTTGCAGATACTATAATTAGCCCAGAACAACAAATATTCCTGAAAAGCTCTTAATGTAATTGGCGGTCCATGTCTCAGGAGGGGCGACAGGCTAACCTATCCTGAACTAACTTGACAATTGAGATAAGCGTGTGAATAATGTGTCTGAAAAATTAAAGTTGCGTTAATTTCGTTTATAATAAATGAAGAAAGATATATTGAATTTCAAACTAAGACATCTTTTCTTCCCCAAATAGGCCCACACTCAACCGTTCACATAAATACATACAAGGATGATATGTTGCGAATATTCAGCTTATCTAATTTATCTAATTAAATTATAGTTATATCCTATTGACTTGAGGTAGAGCATAAAGTTGATATTAGAGGGTCGGAGTCATGGAGGTTAGGATCGTCTATAAACGACGTCACACTCGTAAGAGGGAGTCCGTAATCTTGTGACGGTGTGTGATGAAAGGGGGGGGGGGGGGGGGGGGTCAGATGGCATGACTTCATTTTTTTGCATTACTAAAAAGCAATGTTAGAAAACGAGTTTTAGCCGTTATTTCGCGTTTTAGAAAACGGTTGTAATAATTTGTAATAGGAATTGATCAAAATACTCTATGTTGACAAGATTTTGGAAAAATAACGATATTTTAAGAAAAATTCAACAGCAATTTTGAGGGGGGGGGGATTGTAGGCTGAGGTGTGTGACCTACTTAGGTCGAGTCATTTTTATTTTGACATTGTATAATTCCTTATATGGAATGATGGTGTAACACCTGGGGTTTTTCCACTGACTAATTAAGGTGTTTGGGACATAGAAATTTTCCATTAAGATCTGATTGAATGATTCTGATCAGATGATTATCCCAACCAATGGCTACATGAGTTGAGGATAGCCTCCCCTGTCGCAGAAGTCTTTAATTGCACTGCACACTCGCAACACGAGGCAGTTTTTCTTGACCTGGCAGTCTACGGGGCAGTTTTACCTTGATCAGGCAGCCGTCCATATTGTCCGGCTATAGACTCTGACCATTTGAACGTGAGAGTACTTAAGACCTGTGTGTGCCTTGCTTTCTTAAGTTGATTTAGTCTTCTAGTTTAATATTACTTGTCGTTAAGTAATTTCTGAAGCTACAGCAGTGTTGTGTGGCCTGTGGCTGTTCTTTAGACAGTGTAGAAATCTGTGATAGTGT